ACGTATCCTAGACGGAAATTTCTGTCTAGAATGTATCCTAGACAGAAATTTCCGTCTAGGATATGTGGAAATTAAAAAAAAAAATTAACGCGTCAAAACCTCAGCCGGCCTTCTTTTCCCCCCAAATCGAAATTTTCAGCGCCTCCCCACCCCCCAAATCCTCAACTCCTACTCCTCCCTCCACCGCCTCCCCCTCCTCACCCTCTCCCTCCTCAACCTCACCCTCGACCTCTCCCCCCACTCTACTCCCTCTCCCTCCACGGCCTCCACCACCAAAAAGCAATTTAGAAGCTCAAGATCGCCGGGGATCCAGCAAACCCTTCTTCCCCGTCGAATCCCGTCACCAGCTCTCCGGGCTCCGCTGCCCTCCCCTCTCAAAATCCGCGTCGTCGTCGTCGTCGGCCATGGCGAGCTGCGGCTATCACTCTCCTCAGTTCTCAGAGGTCAGGTTTCTCCATTACTCCAAATTACCAAACTGCCATCGGCCGAATACTTCCATTTTTCTTTGATTTTGGTCCTATATCCAAATGGGTATTCTGTTTGAGGCTTTCAGAGAATTAATTCATGTAGATTGAAGGGTAAATTTGCTTTGTATTGGGAGCTTCTGTCTCGGTCTCTTATTCACAAATAGGTACAAATTTGCATCAATTTTAGTGATTTTCCCCGTTGCAATCCTAAGAATTAGTTATTTTCATATGGGTCTTGTTTATTTTGGTGTTTCGAGTCCTTATTTAAGCTGGGTATTGCTTGAATTTGAGAACCGTGGTGGTTCTGCTTACCTTTCCTTCTTTAGAATTAGTATTTGATTATGATTGTATTTGGTTTGTTTCCCTTTCGATCTAGGTAGTTATTTAATTTTAAGATTATGTTTAGGTTTATTTATTAATTTCTCATTCCTTTTCCAATTTGGTAGAAAGGTAAGATCCGAAGTAAATGTATGAACAGTATTTTCGAGGTTAAAAATGGTAGTTCAGCCTGAACGACAGATGAAGGTAAAAAATTACTGTAGCAAGAACATTATTTATGGGGAAATACTCAGCACATCGCTAGAGATATGAACAGTATTTTCGAGGTTAAAAATGGTAGTTCAGCCTGAACGACAGATGAAGGTAAAAAATTACTGTAGCAAGAACATTATTTATGGGGAAATACTCAGCACATCGCTAGCAGTAAGTTTAAGGAACGAACAAAGTGGACTTCTGGAACATGCTATAAATATCTACAAGTGTTGTAGCCCAACATAACTTCTCATTGATGGAAGTTCTATCTTCTCTCATTTAATAATTGTAATTGTGCCTTCTCCTGGAATAGAAACATCATTCGCAGATGGTTGCAGATTCTTTTTTCTTTTAGGATGATTTGAAATATTTTCTTATTTTCATCTTTATTAATGATTCGATCTCCTTTGGAATAAAAAGTAAAAGCACCATTAATTTGTTGGTAACCAGTAATGTATGTATTTCTTACATGATTCTGAAAATTGGTAGCAGAATGTGGACAATGCCTGAAGCAAAAGATATCATCAGGACAACTGGGACTGGAGAAAATAAGATGAAGCTTGTTTCTAGCGATTGCAATTCACGAATTGTGAGAATCTCGGATTTCTTAATATTTTTTTTGGTTCAAAATTTTTAATTCTTCAATATGGATTTGCTTCCTCAGCTACATATTGGTATCAAAATAGCTCATAAGTTGAACATTTATTTTTGGTCTCTCCTATTGCCAGATGACTGAAATGCAAGAGCCTAAGAGCATCATAGGAAAAGCTCCCAAGACCCATACTACTATACAGTAAGTACAGTTTCATTATCTATAGAGGAAATTCTCATTTGTGCATGCTAGGTAGCAATAAAGTTCGAGCATAGAAGCAGTAAAGGCTGAAATTATGGACCACCTTATGAGTGGCAAGTATACAAGTAAGCATTCTTATGCTTGTTTCCTGAATTATGGTTGGTAGCCTAATAACAGAACTTATGTGATGTACATTCATTTATGCAATACCCTTGGCTTTTCTTCATGGGGTACCTCGTGTTTATTACAAGGGTCGCCAAGGGGACTATTATGTCATGGTAACTGATAATAAACGTCCTAGTTATGGATTTCTTTCGTATTATGTTTATATATATGTTGCTATGATCACCCCGTTATTTGTATAGGTGATGGATATGTTGGGAGTCTATGGGATGTTTGGTATGGGATGTTTGGAATAATAACTCCTATGCGTGAGTATTTGAACCTCTTTTGTGAATTTCTTAAGTTACTGTTTGTGTAAGTATGTAATCTTGACTGTTTCTCTTTGCAGAATGTCAACAGAAATGGTTGCTTGTATTGCTATTGAAGCAATCTCTATTTTAGAGAAGATGCATTCTAAAGGGTAGGCCTGCTCTTTACGCTATGAAGATGCAGAATCTCAATTTATGTAAAAGTTTGTAAACAATTTATGTATCTCTCTACTATTTTGGTGAATTTAATATTAAAATATAATTAGATTGTGTTGGATATGAATATAATTTTTTATTGTTCAATATTGTGTACATGCAAAAAAAAAAAAAACTACTGTAGCATAGTATCCTAGACGGAAATTCCGTCTAGGATACTCAAATTCCGTCTAGGATGTTTTTTTAAAAATAAAAAAAAATAAAAAAAAATAAAAAATCAATATCCGTCTAGAATAAGTATTCTAGACGGAAATTTCCGTCTAGAATACTTATTCTAGACGGATATTGATTTTTTATTTTTTTTTATTTTTTTTTATTTTTAAAAAAACATCCTAGACGGAATTTGAGTATCCTAGACGGAATTTCCGTCTAGGATACTATGCTACAGTAGTTTTTTTTTTTTTTTTTTTGCAAAATCTACTTTAGGTGCATGCATAACAATATTGAACAATAAAAAATTATATTTTCATATCCAACACAAACTAATTATATTTCAATATTAAATCACATTATATTCAAATAATACATTCACCAAAATAGTAGAGAGATACATAAATTGTTTACAAACTTTTACATAAATTGAGATTCTGCATCTTCATAGCGTAAAGAGCAGGCCTACCCTTTAGAATGCATCTTCTCTAAAATAGAGATTGCTTCAATAGCAATACAAGCAACCATTTCTGTTGACATTCTGCAAAGAGAAACAGTCAAGATTACATACTTACACAAACAGTAACTTAAGAAATTCACAAAAGAGGTTCAAATACTCACGCATAGGAGTTATTATTCCAAACATCCCATACCAAACATCCCATAGACTCCCAACATATCCATCACCTATACAAATAACGGGGTGATCATAGCAACATATATATAAACATAATACGAAAGAAATCCATAACTAGGACGTTTATTATCAGTTACCATGACATAATAGTCCCCTTGGCGACCCTTGTAATAAACACGAGGTACCCCATGAAGAAAAGCCAAGGGTATTGCATAAATGAATGTACATCACATAAGTTCTGTTATTAGGCTACCAACCATAATTCAGGAAACAAGCATAAGAATGCTTACTTGTATACTTGCCACTCATAAGGTGGTCCATAATTTCAGCCTTTACTGCTTCTATGCTCGAACTTTATTGCTACCTAGCATGCACAAATGAGAAAGATTATGCATAACAGTTAATTAATAGGGTCTTCTTCGAGAATAAGGCACTTAAATTTGTTCTAGATTTATAGCTGATCAAATAACCTCAATAGCGCTGGAAGCACTTAGATTGTATAAAGATTTCATTCAAACCAAGAATTCATTTAGAGAGATGAAAGAGATGCAATACCTGTACTTTTTGCTCTGTCTTCAGCACCTCATTATCAACATCAGCTTCAGGGTCACCCATGCACTCTGGTGAATTTACAATTTGGACATGTAAAAGAAAATCTAGGCTGAGAGCAAGCAAATTGAAAACAGTACAAAAAAGGAGCTATTGTCTATGAACGCATCAGTATGTTAAAATAAATATAGGAGAAAACATCCAGACGGTCAACAATCATGAAATTAGGGGATAAAGTGTTTTAAGGAAAATTTTCTTTCAGTGACTAACAACATGTCTCTCTTCCTTTAAAAAGAATCTGAATTATCGAGTAATGGTAGCAATCAACTAGCAACAACGCTATTGTTAATAAAGAGGATGGAAGAAAGAAAAGAAAAAACCAGGTTATATTTTATAGTGCAACATATGTTTATAGCTGCCTGTGAAAGCACTTTGGGGGCCATTCCATATCGGTGACAACATTAAAGAAGGAATTTGGTGCAGGAAAGTGCTAGGGCTGGGTTTTGGGTCAGCACATGAGTTTTTTCCAGTAAACTACACTGAACAATCATTGACAGGAACCTTGTATCACAACAGAAATGTGTTCTCGTATCAGCAAACATTTATAAATCAACCTTTATCTTATTTTTGTTGACAAACAAAAGATTAGCAAGAAATAAACCT